CTGCCCTCAGTTCATGGTCTTTCAAGTCCAAGCCACAGGCCTTAATGAAAAAGAAATTCCCCACACCTCCCAGCACAATGCTGGTGCTGGCTTGCTAGCCTGGATTTCAGCTCTCTTCTTATCTGGCTGACCTCAAGTTTTCCTAATTCACCTGTTGGATTGTCCATGTATTTAAAAATATTTGATCCATTATTTTTAGTTATATTATTTTACTATATTTCTAGAAACCAAACCATTTTTTGAAAAGCATGTTAAAGTGCTCCTTGACATCAGGGATGCCTATACTTCTCTAGTCCTAAATGCTAATCTGTTTAGTACAGGTCCCATTTCTCCTTCAGGTGAAAACATAAAAATATAAGGACTGTACTCTGCAAATTATTACTCTTAGTAAAGGACAGCATATCTTGGCAATTGCAGGGCATCTAAACTCAGGCTAGATAGCAACTGAGAGAAGAGAATTGTTCTCTCTTTGGGCTCCCTTATCACACAAAAAAAGAAGAATCTGAGCAGCATATCACTTAGATAGGTTTTTGGTGGCTTACCTCACTATAAATTCAGGTCCCAGTTAAAAGTTAGGTAAAGTAGAGCCACCCACCACAAGTATACGCACTGCCAGTTGGAGAAAGGAGGAAAAAAACAGAGGTAAGGGGAAAATGCACTTCGATCCAATATCACAAAATGACGTGCAGCATTCCTGTATCTATTCTTTCCTTCCTTCATTTACTCAGCAATATTCACAGAGCACTTACTATGTGTAGAGCATTATTCTAGGTGTTGGAGATACAATAGTAAATAAAGAAATATAGGGACCTAGTTGGTTTGGCTCAGTGGATAGAGCATCGGACTGCGAACTGAAGGGTCCAAGGTTTGATTCTGGTCAAGGGCACATACCTTGGTTGCAGGCTCCTCCCTGGCCCCAACCCTGGTCAAGGTGCATGCAGGAGGCAACCAAGCCTTATGTCTCTCTCATATCAATGTTTCTCTCTCTGTCTCTCCCTCTCCCACTCTCTCTAAAAATCAATGAAAAAATATCCTGGGGTGAAGATTAAAAAAAAGAAAGAAATATAGGAATGATGACACATAAATGAATATATAAAAAAGAAACATAAGAAAATAAATATGACAGCTCTTTGGAAATGAGAAAACACTACAAAACTCCTTTGTCATTATCCAGTTTCACAAGATGATCTGGATAACTCTGTGGACCATGATTACAACAGCTGCTTTTTCCCCATAGGAGAAAGCATATCTTGATAGATTTGGAGTTTCAAAGCAATTACACTGGCAAAGTTTCTCGCTTAAAAACATTTTGGAAATTCTGTTAATCTATAATTTAACACTTTTCAACCCTCACTCGGTCACAAATGCAGAAGGAACACCTTGTAATTCATATTAGCCTTTCCAATAAATCAATCACTTTAACCTGCCAAGTATTCTAATTCAACTTCTATTTTCTCCACCAATAAATCTCAGGCTTCATACCCACAACCAGGTGTGGGCCAGAATGAAAGAGCAAATGGAGCTGTGGCGTGGTATTTGTTGAGTAAGCGCTCTGATACATTTCCACACCATAAACATGTAATGACACTTCCTCCCAACAGCGTATTTACTACATCAATTTATTTCAAGGTATTCTATTTGCAGAAGCAAGATAGAGCAAAGGTTACTTTGGATCTTTTGCCAATACCGCTTCCTGTAAATAAAGAGAAGAGCAACCATTTAACTTACAAAATCATTTTAAAAGGCTAAATGCTCAATAAATTCTGCTTTACCTAGTTCAGACAGCCTCGGCAGCTATTTGTAACTTGGGTACAAAAATATGTACAAAATTCAAGCATTTGCACTAGCTTGGGCATGCCTAGCTTTGACTGAAACTGAATTCATTTCAAAGGTTGTTGAGACAGTATTAGAATTTCAGGGAAATATCTGTGGGACTCCCTCCTGCCTTGTCCTGAGAACTGAATCAGCCACAGGCTTGAGAAAAGGAAGACTCCATCCATCACCACTCCTATGCCCGGTCCCATTAAAGCTGCAACCAACTATCTCATCTCTCTCTCTCTCTCTCTCTCTCTCTCTCTCTCTCTCTCTCTCTCTCTCTCCATAATAAACTGGACCACTTATGCAAGCATCCCCTGACACAATTCTGTGTAGCACTGTGAGAAATGATAAACAAGCCTGTATGTCCAGCCTAGGAAATTTCACCTCACTGTATTAGCCCCTTCTCAAATATAAATACTTCTACTTAAATGACCCAGGTACAAAGTCCTTTTCACTAACAAGTTATTCTATCTTTTATACTTGGTTACATTTATAATTTAACTGATAGTTTATAGAAACTAAGAATCTTAGCATAAATTGTGTTGAATTTTTATTAAGCCCCTTAAGTTCTATCAATGAGAATTGAATATAGCACAGAAGATAGAACTATCTTCTGGAATCAGAGAGATGAGATTCACATCCCAGCTATGATCACTCACCAGCCTTCTGACTTAAGCAAGTGACATAACTTATGCAAGTCTCAGTTTTATTTTCTGTAAAAAATAAATAAAAATGCTTATCTTCTAGGGACTCTAATAATTAAATAATTAAAAGGAAGACTCCATCCATCACCACTCCTATGCCCGGTCCCATTAAAGCTGCAACCAACTATCTCATCTATCATCTATCTATCTATCTATCTATCTATCTACCTACCTACCTTCCTACCTGCCTACCTACCTACCTATCTACCTATCTAATCTTCCTCTCTGCATAATAAACTGAAAAGTTATAAGAAAAGTTACATTTTTATTTATGGGGGACCTAACATTCAACTAGTACCACTGGTATAAAATTAGTAAAGAAACAGTCTTGTCCACAAGGAGTTTTCAATTTTATTATGAAGTCAAGGTACGCATCTAAAGGACAAGTTTACTGAGTGCTCATTACACAGGGCAAACAAAAAGATGATGGGGTATTATTAAAGAGTCTACCCTATTTAGACAAGAGTTCCTAAAATTTTCACATAGATGCTAATAATTGGGAATTTAATAAATTTTCACAATGATGTCACTAATTAGAAATTGAATAATGCTGGATTAGAAATTAAGTGACCTGTTTAAAAACATGTAACTAATGGACAAGCATACAAAAAGGTTATTCTAAATTTAAAAAATATGTTTACCATGAAAGTAATAAAATTAAGAACATAGGAATTATATGTGTTTAGTTTAGTGTATCAATAAAACTTAGTAATTTTAATTGGATTAATTTCTTAATTATAGAAGAATCTGCCTCCAAATAGTCATCTCCACTAACGATAATGAGAGCTAAGATTTACTGGGCACTAATGAAGTCCCAGGCACTGCTCGAAGCATGTTTACATGTATTATTCTCACTGATTGTAACGATACTATGATTTATCCCCCTTTATTGGAGAGGAAACTAAGTCCAAGGAAATAGCTTTCCTACGGTCACATGGGTGGGAAGAACCACAGCTGAGAGGGGAACCAGGCATTCATCACCAAGTGCTACACAATGCTGCCCCCACTGAGCAGCTACCTGTCTCACTTGGGTAGCTAATGGTCCTTGACATCATACTTGAATGTTGAAAATAGAGTTTGAGTTTCTGAGCTTCTTCTCAAAACTGGCTTCACCTATCATCAGTTCCCATCATAACTGATGAAAATTCATCCATCCAGTCGCCAAAACAAAACAAAACAACACCTTGTAATGATCTGTGGCAGACACAGAGGTGTACTGCCCAGTCCCCTGCCAGGCAGGACTTGCCCAGCTGTGGGGAGTGAGGACAGCAGACGGGCCCCCAGCTATCACTTCCTTCAGTGTTTGACGGCTTCCAGTAACTGAAAGAGGCAAAAGGCCTGGCTTTTCTGCCTGACACGGAACACTCAAGAGCAACCTTCTCTCCAGAACTCCCTCTGACTGGTCCAGGCTTTGTGGGCGTAGACTTCTTCCTCTGCTTAGTCTGGCTCTTCTTCTCTTCCCTTTGCACATATTACGTCCTAATAACACCTTGTACCCCAAGCTCCATCTGGCGGGTGCTTCCGGAGACTCAGCCAAAACTCCTCCCTTCCTCCCAGAGGTCACATCCATTCTGTCAAATCTAGTTGGCTCTCCTCACAGCATTTACAGATACCACCCTGGTCCAAACTAGAAGTTGAGGTGGAATCAAGTGGTGATGTAAAATGCAAGCCTGGAACCTCCTGCCTGGGGGAGACTGGAGCACGTAGCTGTCTGGAAGCTACTTTTCAGCTTCTCCCTTCGTTCCCCTTTGGTCTGACACACAGTCAGTGTAGTCTCCGCCTGTCACTCTTTTGCTTGAAACCTTACAATGAATCGCATTTAATCTGATGTAAAAGCCGTAATCAATAAAAGCCTTTCCAGCCCTTTATGACCTAATCCCACTAGGTCTCTGATCTCAGCATCTACCCATGGCCTCCCTCTCCGCACCAATCCCCCACTTCTGTCAACTAAACACTGGGCATGCCTTCAGGCCTCGGTTCTGGTTCTCCACCTGCTGATTCCCTCACTTCCTTCAAGCCTTTGATAATATCTCACTTTCTCAATGTAATATTCTATGCAATTGACTTCTCTATGTTTATTGTTTTTTTGCCTTTTTCCCCTTTTAGAATGTGGATTGTCATCTATTACATCCCAAGCACAAAGTACACTAGTAATAATAAGTATTTGTGAAATGGATAAATCCTACATTTCCTAAGTAGGTTTATAGAAAATAAAATCATCATTACAATCTAATTAACAATCCCCAATTTAAATTCACGACTTCCTTGGCAGAGATGCAAAGGACTCAGAGGTCTACTGATGGAATATTTTCCTGCTAATCAATTCACTGGAACGTACAAGAGGATGGTCGAGTCTGATTGGGTTACTAGGTCTTTATTTACTCATGCTCTAACCTCCAGTACCTGGATTTAAAAACCCGCTTCTGTTTATTTTCATACTGGGACATCTAATCACACTTCACCTTTCTCTTGACTTACCTCAAGCTCATCAAGGGCACTTCCCAGGGTTGCTGCCTGAGGTTCCAGAGGGGCCAGCACATTCTGGATGCCTTGTGAAGCATTCGATATTACGTTGAGCGCATTCTGAATTTCTTCGCAAACTGTGTCCTTGCTGGCTTTGAGGGAAGCAACATCAGAATGTTCCAAACAAGCTGAACAAATTGAATGCAAGAGCGGGGAGTTCTCCTTCAATGAGGCCCGGGCGCCGGCTATTTCATCCCTCTGATTTGGAGACTTTAAGTCCTGAGGATGAAAATGAAAAGAGAGGCACCATATAATGAGCTATGGGAGAAAGAGTTATACAAAGAAGCTCTACTCTTCTGTCAATATACATGAAAAAGATCATAGACACTAAGAAGTCATCTATAAGTTAAAATCCAGGCCATCAATTATTTTTACCCTCCTTCAGAGTCAAAAATTCTGTAGTAGGAAAGCTGGGCCCATTAGCAAATAAAGGTCACAGTGATGCAGATGTGTAACACCGAGCAGATCAGTCATATCCTTACAAGTCAGAAAAATACTCTGGCGCTCACATTCTTAAGTGTATTATAAGAGGGCATGAATTATAAGGATACTGATTACCTATTTCCGTAGACGGTGATGATTGCATTTAACCTTTTCATGAAAACTAAACCAATTCAGTCAAGATGCTAAGTGGAACCTCCGACCATTCTGCTCTTTTAGACCCTTTTCTTACTAATAAATCAACCTTTCTTAGACATTTAGTCAACAAATAGTTATTGAACATTTAGCATATGCTGGCCCTTGTGCTAGATACGAAGCATACAGATGTGAGCAATCCTACAAGGCCCCTGTTCTCCTGAAGCTTATGTTCTTCTTTGAGGGGAGGGATCCTATAGACCAGGGGTGGGCAAACTTTTTGACTCGAGGGCCACAATGGGTTCTTAAACTGGACCGGAGGGCCGGAACAAAAGCATGGATGGAGTGTTTGTGTGAACTAATATAAATTCAAAGTAAACTTCATTACATAAAAGGGTACGGTCTTTTTTTTTTTTTTTTAGTTTTATTCATTTCAAACGGGCCGGATCCGGCCCTCGGGCCGTAGTTTGCCCACGGCTGCTATAGACACACAATGAAGTAGGTAAACAATGCACAAGTCTATTTCAGGAAATGATGCATGCTATCAAGAAGAGACAAAAGTAATGCATCACAGAGACTGATTTGAAAAGAGAAAGCTGCTTTAGCTTGGTGGTCACAGAAAATATTTCCATTATGATGACAGTTGCAGCGAACATAAATGAAAAGCATCCCAAGCAGTGGGAAGAGAGGGGCGAGAAGTCCTATAAAAGTGATAGCTGGCCCAAACTAACTCAAGATACGGCAAAAATCCCTGACAAGCACAACCTTAATTAAGTGACAAAGGTTAACCTCATTAGTGATGCCACAGGGATATCATGCACCCCTTGACACACTGTGACTTCTCTCTAGTATTCACTTTAAAAGCCCACAATCCCAGTCTAATCATAAGAAACACAATAAAGAACACCAGATTGGAGAACATCCTGCATGAGACCCGGGCAGTGTTCCTCAAGACCATGACGGTCACACCAAAACAGGGCACTAAGTAATAAACTCTCACAGACCAGAGGAGGCTGGGGAGACATGACAAGCAAACGCCATGTGGGACCCTGGATTGGATCCTGGAAAAGAAATAAGCTATTCATGGATACACTGGCGAAGCCCACACAAACCTGAGTTAAGTTCATAGTAATCCGTCAGTGTTAGTTTGTTCCTTGTGGCAAATCAAAGATATTAACAAGGCAGGGAACCAGGGGAAGCGTAGATGGGAACTCCCTTTACCACATCTGCAACTTTTCTGAAAATCTAAAAATATTAATATAAATAGAAAGCTTATTTTAAAGAAAACTAACTCAAGGGACCTTAACTATAGCTTATGCATTAAAAACTCATGATAAATATTTTCCCCATTTTAAAAACGAGAAAACGGGGGTTGAGAGAGTCTAAGTTCCTAAGCCAGTGACAGAGTTAGATGGTGGCATTTCTTATATCGTAACCGAAGTCAGTGTGACAGCTAAACCATGATCCCAATAACTATGCTATATCTTTCCTGCACAGGAAGGAACTCCCTTATTTGCTATACAAGGACGAGGACTCGTCTTTGTATAATGACAGTTTATAAAGTGCTTCTAGATCTTATCAGTCATCACAACACCTTTAAAGCAGTAAGGCTGGGGTTATTAAGCACCACTTTAACTAAATAGGTATTTAGTGTAAGAAGACTCAGAGGCTGGTAAAAGAACTAAGCTCTAAACCTAAGTCTTTCAACTCACATGTTTTTTTCCCACAAGACTCTGTTGCCAAGGAATAATGTTGCCTGTAGTTAATAAATGGCTGTGCTGCTGTATTTTTGGTTCCTTCTTTTCTGAAAGTAAAGGCTGTCTGCTACTTTATGCAGGCTTTGGGAGATATCAACTGATTTACAAGATGTGGGGAGGACAGTAAGAAGTAGCTGTCAACCCACTGTTCATACTAATTACCCAAGAAAAGACACTTTGTGGTTTTCTTGGCTCGCTATGATTTCCCCTTATAGTTCTGGTCTGAGTTCTAGTTTTATCTCTGTCATTAGCACCATGAGCTGGGTAATTCCTCTATTCTTTCAATGTCTGCTTTTCCATCTATAAAAATGGGGGAAATGATATTTTGCCAACGGAAGACGGAGTAAGTAGCATATCAGAAAACAAATGTAGCCCTTGCCAGTTTGGCTCAGTGGATAGAGCAACGGCCTGTGGACCAAAGGGTCCCGGGTTCAATTCCAGTCAAGGGCATGTACCTCAGTTGCAGACTCCGCCCCAGCCTGGGCCCTAGTCAGGGTGCATGCAGGAGGCGACCAATCAGTGTGATTCTCTCACATGGATATTTCTCTCTGCCTTTCCCTCTCTCTTCCACTCTCTCTAAAAATCAATGGAAAAATATCCTCAGGTGAGGATTAAAATAAAAAGAAAAGAAAACAAATATACTTGGAAAAAAGTAGACATAGAGAGAGTACAGAATTATTTTATTCCTTAAATTTATTAAGGAATACTGTCTTTGTCCTGTGATGGTCTTAGGGATTTTCATATTTTCCAGATTTTTATATCACCACCTACATTTAGCTCAGTGAAACTTAGACAAATATTTAATGTTTTGAAAGGACAAGTAAATTACAGTTTTGAAAGGACGAACAACTCCTCAGAAGAATAACAATAAAAAGTATAAATATTCAGAAAGAGCTGAAGAAAAGTCTCTGCATATTACAGTATAATCAAAATGTATTACATAATTCCCTCTAAAGTGACATACACATAACATATACTTCTTTATCTAGAATGGCATGGTCAACATTTAGGTAGTTTCTGAAAGAAGAAGGTCTGTGAACATATATTATTACAAAGAAAGCAAAAGTTAAAAATATTATTCCTTTTACTCTGATGGTGGCTATGTATATCTAACAGTAAATTATGGTGACTTTAATGCTGCAAGGACTTTGGAATTTAAAAACCAAATATATTTTTGGCTTTTGATCCTAAGCTTAATTATCTCTGCCCAAGGCAATTATAGGATCTTTAATGAGTACTGATATCCAAAACAGTAAACTGTGATAAGGACAGTTTTAATGAACATAACAAAAATGATGTACTATGGCAGCTGGTGGGGGAAAGAAAGGCAGGTTATAGAGTTGAAGGTAAGGAAAATACAGAAGGCAAGATCATTTCTCCTAAGGCACATCCCAAAGAATAAATTTAATGTAATAAGTAGGCACATAAACAAAAGGGGAATTAATAAATGCCTGCCTTCTAAATAAAAGGTTGTGGTGATGTTTGTTTTATTAATTTTAACTGATAATACCATGGTTCAAAGCTTCATATGTCTAAGTATGCTAAAATCTTCAACTAGGTCAAAATGGGAATTAAATGGTAGGGTTACTTAGGGATTTCTTTGGGCGGAGAAGTATAAAGAATTCAGCTCCTCGGGATTTATACTTATTTAATAACTTTTTTCCAGGAAGTAAAATCTCACATGAGATGTCTAAGTGAAGGGGACATGAAAGGCTCCTAGCTGATGAAGAAATACACAGATGGGATTTAAAAAGAAAGAAGAAGAACTCACAAGTCTGTGCAAGTGGATAGAAAATTAACATATGAGTTTTAACTCTGGCAAGAGAACAAAATATATTTAGGGATTTTCAATTTAAAAAAAAATGGAGGGCTCTAAGCGATCAATTAATTAATTCAACTGTTCATTCAACAAATATTGTTTGGCTCTGCACATCAGGCAGTTCACTAGATGTTAGAAATGCAAAGATAAAGAGCTTATAGATCAGAAGGGGAAACAAATTTATATGGGAGTTAAAATAGATGAAAGTCCCTCAGCTTGAGGAAATTAAAGAAAATGTATCAGAGGAGGTGAATCTTAAACTATAAGTAGGAGTTTTTCCTGTAAAGAAAGCAGAACAAAAAAACAAGCAAATAAAACAGCATGTGTGAAGACCTGAGGCATGAGAGCAAAGAGCATGCAGACCACAGCAGGTGGCACCACAGCAAGTACAGGCATACCTTGGAGATACTGCAGTTGGGTTCCAAGATGAAGCGATAAAGTGAGTATCACAATACAATGAGTCACAGGAATTTTCTGGTTTCCCAGAGCACATAAAAGTTTTGTTTATTAAGTATGCAATCGTATTTTCTATATATATAAAAGCCTAAGCGACTGCTAAGACCGGACGACCTGACGACTGGCCAGTAGCTATGATGTGCACTGACCAACAGGGGGCAGACGCTCAATGCAGGAGCTGCCCATTGGTGGTCAGTGCGCTCCCACAGCCAACCTCCAGCAGTCCCTTCTCCCGGCCAGCTGGCCCCGATTGCCAGCCAGGCCGAGGGACCCCACCTGTGCACAAATTCGTGCACCAGGCCTCTAGTGTCTAATAAAACAATGTACATGCCTTAATTAAAAAAAAACAACACTTTATTGCTAAAAAATACTAACCATCATCTGAGCCTTCATTGAGTGATAATCTTTTTGCTGGTGGAGGGTTTTACCTTAGTGTTGATGGCTGCTGACTTATCAGGGTGGTGGTTGCTAAAGTTGGGGTACCCTGGAAATTTCTTAAAATAAGATAACAATGAAGTTGCTGCATCAAGTGATACTTCCTTTCATGAAAGATTTCATGTGATACTGTTTGATAGCATTTTACCCACAGTAAATAAAACTTCTCTCAAAAT